AGTAGATCATTAATGAACACTAAATAAAAAACAGCAGACAGTATCCCACCTTGTCTTACGCCTCTTTTGAGTTTAAACCATTTTGAACACTTTCCTTTAAATTGCACACAGCTTCGCATGTTCTGTATTAAACTGTATTATTCGGTGTCATTTGTATTAAACCTCGAACTCCATATATATACAACTTGACTAATAGTCCTTTGTGCCATAGAGTATCAAATGCTTTCATGCTGTCCAGAAGTGTGACGATAATGTTTCTATGACGCTCCAAATTATGGTGTACAAATTTAACTTCTTGCATGTTGAAACTCGCATGTGTACTAGCAGAGACATATATACGTATATATGTCTCTGGTACTAGATAATGCCTTCTGGTAGGCAACTTGTGATTAGTGTGGACAGTTGTGATTAAGCGATGGTAAACGAGTTGCCATTCGATTTTATTATTGATAGTAGGCCCCAAGTTAAAATCGGCTCTACACGTTTGGACGCTGGATTACTATATATATAACAATTGATTTTGCATGCGCATGCGCAATGCGAATATTGAAAGTACAATACAATAAAAGTTGCAGGAGTTTTGTTACAGCAAGTGTCCTTTAAGGGTATAAAATTGTATAGAAAATTAATTAACTCTATTTCTTGAATAACACACAGCATTACACTGGAACTATTTGAATATTAAATATTGGTGTTCTAGATGGATGTGTCCGGTGCCTACGCATGCCAATACGAATTTACTTTATAATTTGTGTTCCAGAAAATTGTATTTAATTAAAATTGACATTTGTGGCATTTTACATTAGAACACCGTCATTTGTATTAAATTAAGCCTTTAAACTGAATTAGTATATTCAATATTTATAATTTATCCGGTTGTGTCCGTGTGTCCGGCTACAAAATGCATGTCAACTAATTTTTGCACCGGAACCTTGACACTAATGCCATTTTCACTGAACTAGTACACATTTTTATTTAGGGGCCAGCTGAGGCCCACCTCCGGGTGCGGGATTTTCTCGCTCCATTGAAGACCCATTGGTGCATGGCCTTCGGCTGTTATCTGCTCTTTGGTCGGGTTGTTGTCTCTTTGACATATTCCCCATTTCCATTCTCAATTTTATATATTGATAGAAAAAATCTCAAAAAAAAATCTAAAAGTCTATAACTGAAATCATACTGGAAAGTTTTCAGTGGTCAACAGAGCTAAATCAATTGCCAAAATGCCATGCAAAAGAAAACGCCCTACACATGAAAGGACAGCCAAGAGATGAACAATCAAACTGATTTTAATATTGTAAATTTTTGTAATATATATATACAAGATTACTGTAATAAATATATATAAAGAAATATAGCTTTTATTTGTTTGTTAAAAATAAGGCAGTATCATCAGGAAGGCGAAATTGAACTACAGAATGACAAAACAGACCCTAAAATGACATATAAAATATATATATTGAACAAAATAATAATTCATCTGCCCAGAACCAAAAAAATACCTTAAATAATTACATTGAAATAGACATTGAATCATATGTATTTGATTCACCAAAACAATAATTAAGGCAGTGGCTATTTTGCCGGCTATGATTAAAATATCCTTATTCGAGCCAGTAAAAAAGCATATTTCTATAGAAATGGCTATTTTACCGGCATCAGCAATATAGTGAATTTGTTATTTTGCAGGTTCTTTGTAAAGAGTGATATTTAAATAAGAAAACCGCTAACAATATTTGAGAAACATGTTTATCTTTTAAAAACAGTTATCAGTCAAAGTATAAATGACTATTAAGAATTTATAACAAGAAAAAATAAATTAAAAATATTGAGCATCCATTTGTTGCGATGAAATCATATCTAAACATGAATTTGAAATTATTTCTAAAATCAGTCAGTGACAGTCTAATGCTACATGTATTCATAAGAGTAAAATCTCAGATTTTTTAACTGTGTGTTATAAAAAAAAATCTCATTGCATCATAAATTTGATAAATATAGATTCTACCACTGCATCGAGTGTGATACGATATTTATCCACTCGAGACAGTTAAATTTTCAAATTTAAAACGTGAGGCTCGCCGAGCATTTTAAATATTTAAAATTTAACTGTCGAGAGTCGATAAATATTGTATCACACGAGATTTGGTGGTGGAATCTGTTTCTCTAATGATTTTCAAACAATAAGCAGGCAAACTTATTCCTTCCTTTCGAATGATCTGCAAAAAGATGTGTTCTTTCTATGTGACGTCATCAGGCATGGTTACCTTTTTTCATGCCGTCACAATAGGAAATTTAGAGGAAAGCAAGAAAAATCGACGTCATAATCAGATTTAAACCAATGAAGAACTGAAATCAAACAAACCACATGTTGATTAAATTTTTTTTTATACAATGGGTGCAGAAAGGGATAAATTGACGAAGAATTTGAGAAAACATTATACAATATAACAAAGTCAATAAGATAGCTTCAAAAATCAAAAATGTTTAAATTAAACATGCTTTTGAAATAATAGCCAGTTATTTGAATTGCATATGTGTAATAGTTTTTAACTTGGCTTCCGCTTACCTAATGCCAGCAAAATAACATATTTTCTATTTTTACAGCGCCGGCAACAAATTCACTATATTGCTATTGCCGGTTAAATAGCCATTTCTATAGAAATAGGCTATTTTGCCGGCTTGAATTAAGATATTTTAATCAGAGCCGGCAAAATAGCCACTGCCAAACAATAACATAAATAAATAGACTTTCACAAAAGGTGTGTGTATTCTCCATTTAATTATTCTTTGAAATTGCGATAAAAAATCAACAAATTCAACAATTTTCTGCTTTAATTGACACACATTATTGTTTTTTTTCATAGTTTTAATTCACTTTTGGGGTGTTCGGCTGTGATTGCGGTGGTGTGCTGCCTCCCATTGTGAACTTTCCATTTCTTTCTAACAACATTCCAGTAGTGCCTGCAATTGGAGTATATATCTCCAAGTTGATACAATATTCCAGAGTTTCCATTTCCTATCATGATTTCCTTGATAGAGGGTTGCTGCTTAAAAAGGAAGATATCAAACCAAGAGTTCCAAGCGGTGAAGTAGAAATCATCCATTCGACATTTTACAGACGCCATCACGTGTTGGTTAACCGTTATTGAATGTCTGTTTCACAGATGACAACAGATATGTTCTAATTTTCGTAACCACAATCCCGTCCTCTTCTCCTCGAATGTGACCGTCTGAATTAGACTTAACACTGGGTTTGTACTTACATGAGCAACACGACAGGTGCCACATGTAGAGCAGGATCTGCTTACCCCTCCGGAGCACCTGAGATCATTCCCGGTTTTGAGTGGAGTTCGTGTTACTTAGTCTTTAATTTTCTATGTTGTGTTTTGTATACTGTTATTTTTCTTTTGGTCTTTTTTTTTTAATCGTCTTTGATATTCATAGATTTTGTATTCTTGAAGAAGGCAGTAATTTCATATGTTTGTGTTTGTTACATGATCACACTAATTATCCTGCTAACAGCCATATTGGACAGCTGATCAACACAAAGAAGATGCATTGTAACATCATTTGTTTTCAGCTGGCTGTTGTTACATTTTTTCTGAAAGAAAGAATTTCTACGTTTCACATCAGGTGAAATATAAATTTTCTAGATATCAGCACCTTACATTAGACAGCTGGCATAAAATTCTGGATGTATAATATTAAATTTCATGGTAATTAGTTCATGTTTGGCATTCATCAAATAGACTACCAGACTATCAGATTTGTTAAATCTCTGAAATAAAAGGTATTTTTTAAATGACCATAGGAAGCTTGAAGCCCTTACAACAGAGCTATTAGACTGAAGAAGTAGAAGACCTACTATCTAATAATAAAAGGAGATGTCTGAAAATTGACAATATATTAGCAACAAAAAAACACAAGAATGTACACGCTGAAACCTCTCGCCTACTTTCCTCATCATGCTGAATTTTAAAGTCTTTTATATGAAGGTTTTACTAAAAGTATCACATAAAGTTATAATTAATGATCCATGTAAATGAGGTGAAGGTCAGATGAACACTGCCAGACAACATGTACATCATGCAATCTTTCCATGCACTAAATATAGATATTGCTTTTATTATTGGAAAAACAGGTATAACCATGAAAACTAAACCATGACCAATTTGAGGTCAAGTTCAGATGCCTAACAGACATATACACCTGACAATTATTCCATACACCAAATATTGTTGGCTGAGCAACACAAGCTCCATCAATAACCAGGGATGTTCTCGTGCTCCAGAAGAATAAGCAGATCCTGCTCTACATGTGCCGCCCATTGTGATGCTCTTGTAAGTACAAACATGGTGGAAAGTGTACTTTGGTGATGTAAATTTGATGAAAAGAAGACCTTCCTTACATCATTCATCTTTATATAAATCTAAAGAGATTGCCAATGAGACAACTATCAACCAGAGTCCAAATGATGAGAACTTTTAACTTTTAAGTTAGTTTAAGTTCAGTTTTTAATGGTTTCATTCCTACCTAATTTGGTTAAAATTGACAAGTGGTCTCAGAGTCGAAGATAAAAATTTGATGAGTTTATAGACATAGACAATAGCAACAATGGAACCAAGTATTGACATTTGTGAATTCATAAGATTGATATTTATTAGATTTCGTAATACTCAATTTTCACAATCAAGGTCTCAAAATACAAAAAAAGTGATTTCCTGTTTTCCACATATATATATATGCTCCTTTATTTTTTTCCAGTTTTGGAGTTAATTTGCATTAGAAAGACTACTACTTCAAATCTGGCTCCTATTTATTGTTCAACAACACAGTAAATTGTTGTCTAGATGTCTTGATGTCTTGGGGTTTGTTTTTTCTTCTTCTTTGTGTTGGGTTGCTATCTCAATGACATATATGGTAACCCCACATATTCTTTTATTCATAACAGTAAGTGTGTATTGCCTCTTTTTAAGGAGATGGAAATGGAAGAAAATGCATATAGTCCATATTTTATTAACTCATCTCATTTACATTCACAGAACATATATCAAGCAACAAAACAAGCTGTAATAATACTTTGCATAATTTCATTGAAGAACTTGACAAATTTGTTAGTAAGTCATAAAATAAAATGTTAAAGTAGCGCATGAATTTAAAGATTTAAAAAGCAAATAAATTACTTTCTGTAACATTTCATGTATAAATAAATGCTTTTTTCCATTAAAAATTAGACAAGAAAATTCGCTATTTTTCTATATATTATCATCACTTACAATGTTGGGGAAAACAATTATGTATTTATGACTAGTAATTTTCCTCAGATTGCTGTCTCATTAAGAGTATAATCAAAGAATACAGCATGTACCATGTATGCTAAAATTAAATTCTAAGTAAAAGTATAAGACTTTTCTTCCTACCCATACAGCTTAAGATTTTATTGGTTTTTTATTTAAATAAATATTGAATTTGAAATGCAGCTTTAAAAAAATGTATTTATCTATTTGTATTAACCTAAATCACAAACAGATTAATAAAGTTTCATGAATATTTATGCATATTACTTTTAAAAATACACAAATAAAAAATTATTTGTCTTCAGAATACCAAAATTATTTAGAAAAATCAGCTATCTTTTAAATTTATTTTTAGCAATCTTATATAAATATTTTCCAAATATAACTGGTGCATACATTGATTTATATAACATTGCCTTAACAGTCTCCTTCAAAGGTGGTTTTTCTTCCTTCCAAATCCCTTTGCCTTTTCTATCTGCCGTTCTTTCTAAGGCTCCCATTCTATGCAGAAGTTCTTCCTGTTTTTCTGTCAACATTTTCATTTCCTCATCTGAGAGATTTGAAACTTTGCATATTCCTTCTTTGATTAGTTTCTCATTGATGCAAGTCGTCCAAAACAAAAACTGAAAATATCAAAAGATAAGTTTTTATACATACTTGTATATACATGGTATATACATTGTCTTGATGTCTTAATATACAAAATGTGATTATTCATATTGAATAAAAGTATTAAGTACAGTTAGGATAAATGTATTTTTAGTTATATAGAACAGTTAGATGACACATTTATTTCTGCCAAAGTCCCATAACCTTATAATCAGTATTTTTCTTGGCTCAAAATTCCCCTTTTTAAACAAAAGTTTGTATTGTTTGAGTGAAAAAAAAACAGGGGATGAAGCAAAAAACACCTAAGATTTTAAGATATGTTGTATGAAATTGAGAATCAATTGTATCATATTTTATGAAATCATTCCTTTTGGTTAAATTCACTTCTTGCTAAAGGATATATTCATAACTACATGTACATGTACAATGTAAACAGCCGCTGTTTACTTTTTTTTAGTTATTGCATCTGGTATTTATGAATTAATTACACCTTATATAAGAATGCCGGATTTTGATTGGTTGAAAGCCAGTGTATTTTTCACATAATTCTAACATTTTTTCCTCATTTCAAACGAATTTGTCTGTTTTTCACCACTACCGGTGAATTTGCCTCAAATTCCCCTCTCTGTCGTGGTATTTGCCATTTTGGATATTCCCTTTTTACCCTCGTGAGCTTCTTCCCGCCAAAATAATTCGGAACCTTTCTCACTTTATCCCGATTATTAAGACAACATGGGTTAGGCACTACTGATTGAGTTAGACCGAAAACTGTAAACTGAAATGTCAGAGATATACATGAAATAAAGTAGAAAAAAGCATTGATACAAATGAACGATTTAATGATGGAATAACAATGACGTTTACACATAGATACCATGACGTTACAAACAGACAGCAATAATGCGTATAAGTACATGTATAATTCCTGCGGTACTATGATTTCCCTTCACCTGTACAAACAGTTTAAATCAAAATCGCTATTCGGTGTAATTAAACAGATATATCATGTTAAGGAGGGGTATTTGCGAAAAATACCAGTCTTGGGACTGAATTTCCCTCGCCTAGCGGCTTGGGAAATTTCACAGTCCCTTGACCGGTATTTTTCGCAAATACCCCTCCATAACATGATATATCTGTTCAAAATTCATATTAATTCACTAATTAAGTTTTGAAACAGGACTGAAATGTTTCTTTTGTTTCATTTTTCCTGTATTGAAATTCTGTACAAATTAATTTTGGACATTTCATAAGATTGTTTCTTCCTCCACTGTTTATTATGTTGCTGAATAAATCCAGTCTTATAAGTAACTAATACCTCACATTTCCTTTTATTTATATCCTTATTATCTTCTTGTAACAATAAGGACTCAGATAATCAAACATATTTGGTATGAAAACAAAAAAGAATTTTTCATAAATAAAATGTTGTATGGTGGTAATTACAAACACTGTCTCACTGAGGTGTATACTATGTCTTCTTTTGTTCTTAAAGAACCAATGTAAACTGTTTACATATAAACAGGGGATCTTCTGGATTTGTCACATTGTGTCAGAAATGACCACACTCAATCTTCTGTAGCCACAGATTAATCCTCCATTCAGAGTTCATGACATACAGATGTGACTTATGGCCAGATTTAAATTTTTCATGAGCAAGATGGTTACAATTAGTGGAACAGGAACTAAGCACCTTGAGTTAATCACTTATTTTGCTGGTGCCTATCTTTGTTACCGGAAATATTGCTCAATCTTTAGTATTCTGTGTATTCGTTGACTGTTGAAAAGACAAGATCTTAATCAAATAACCATACAAGCAATGGCTGGCTGAGAATTAGGGTGTATTACAACTTTTAATCTTAAATTACCTTTTGATGAAACAACGCTGCCTGTAATTGATCATTATCTTTTTCCCATCTTAAAACTTTGAACCAAATATGTGTATCAAGCAGATTCTGTTCAAGCCATTTCTTGCTATTTGGAGTTAAATTTACAAATGCCAATGTCATAGGCAGAAGTTCTGTCCTTGGTGTTCGTAACCATGGTAACCTGAGGTCGAGAATAGGAATATGTTGGACATAAACAATGCCATTCAAATCTATTTCTTTCACACAACCTTGTAAATGAACACCTTTACTTATAAATCTTTTTGGAATATCCTTTCCATGTCTAAAGAATTTTCCCTGAAATAAAAGAAAATATCATTAATAATAATGCCCTTACATACAATGCAAATATATGACCGACACCCACAAATCCTTAATTCATTTATCTAAAATAAAATCATGCTAACTTTTAAAACATTGACTTAATTAAAAATTTTAAATTAACCTATTCAAACCATATCATTATTATTTGCTTTTATATATAAATCAGAAATAACCAATTTAAAATGGAAAATTTTAAAGAAAAAAAAGGAACCCCCCCCCCCCCCCCCCAAAAAAAAAATATTTTGAACCCCCTAATGATTCATCACCCCCAAACTCAATCCCAGATTTCCCTTTGTGGTATGGTACCTTGCAGTACAATTTCAAGTCCATACACTTGAACACAAGTTATTGTCTGGAAACTAGAAAAATGCTTGTTTTTTTACCACTTTTTGGCCCCTTATTCCTAAAAGTTTTGGGCAATTACCCCCAAACTCAATTCCAGCTTTCCCTTTGTGATATGGAACCTTGTAGTACAATTTCAGAAAGATCCATAGACTTACACACAAGTTATTGTCATGAAACTAGAAAAATGCTTGTTTATTGCCCCTTTTTTGGCCCCTAATTCCTAAAATTTTGAGGCAATTACCCCCAAATCAATCCAAGCATTCCCTTTGTGATATGGAACCTTGTGGTACAATGTCAGAGAGATCCATACACTAACACACAAGTTATGTCTGGAAGTTACAAAAATGCTTATTTTTGGCCCTTAATTCCTTAACTGTTGGTACCATAACCCCTAAAATCAATCCCAACCTTCCTTTTGTGGTATTGAACCTTATGGTAAAATTTCATAGAGATCCATTCACTTAAACTAAAGTTAGAGTGCGAAAACCAATGTGTCTTCGGATGATGCCAACATCATACCAATATACGACAGCAAAATTTTTTTGCGGTCGTATAAAAAAGATTGTCAGAGAGTGTATACAATCTCAAACATCTAGCCTCATGATAAAATTGTAACATTGCAGTATATTGGTAAACTTGAGTTACTATATTCCATTTCAAAAACAATGTTCATAATTTTCACCAGTCTAATACTCCATTCCTTAACTACCAATGTCATGAATGTGAAAATTATCAAAAATATAAAGATGTTCTTATAATACCTTTTCTCATAATATTAAAATGGATTCAATCTGAAGGACAAGAAAATTTAAAATAGCTATCGGTTGCACTTCTGTAAATATAGACAATGCAATTTCCCATAGGAACTCCCTTTGTGGCTAAAGCTGTGCCACTTTTACTATGAAGTTTCGTAAAAAATTATATCCTAGAACGGAAAGTTGCTATGCACTACTTTTTTATTCAAAGGTCAAAACATAGAGCTGTGCGGCATATTTTCAACATTTATATGCCCCAAACTTCTAAGAGTTTAAACTTATACTAAAATTCTGTACTACCCCTACCTTCATTTTGGGTGCCCCTCAGAATTCAACAATCGCCGCTACCATGTGTTTTTATGCTGGTAACATTCCCAAGTTATTTCTCTATGAGATGAAACACAGAGATCATATCTGGGAACCATTACGTAAACAAAACAAAATATCTATGAATATTATATATCTCCCCAATAGCGGCGTAGCTTGTGAAACAGCTGTATTTACAAAGTGCAACCTATAGTAACATTTAGTATACATTTGTCTATTTTGGACATAAAATATTCCAATAAAACTAACAATTGTCAATAAGGAGTCTAAATCCATTCCAATGTCAAATAATCAGGTTAAGATTGTAAAAACATACATGTAGGTTGAAACAAAAGACATTTGAAAAATATGGTCACTTTAAAACAATCCTTCCTTCTCTAGATACATCTGGGTTTGGTCTCAAATGCCATATGCATTCGCCCATGGTACTATACACTTGAAGAAATAAGCTCGTTTAAAATTTAGACATATTCCCATCAACCTTCAATGAAGCAAAAACTACAACAAAAATTAAAAAAAGATATCTAGAAGTTCACATTTTTGGGGCCCTTTATAGCTTAATTTTTGCTGTTCGATGTGAGCCAAGGCTCCGTGTTGAAGGCCGTACTTTGACCTACTATAGTATAATGGTTTAATTTTACAAATTGTGACTTGTATGGAGAGTTGTCTCATTGGCACTCATACCACATCTTCTTATATCTATAATGAGTACAAAATGTCCATACAATATGTGTCTTCCTCTAAATTGCCCAGAGTATAGAAAACTTGTAAATAATTAAATTCAATAGAGACTACAGACAAATAAAAATTTAAGTAAATACAACTTGACTACAGATATCAGTCAGTGGTTATTCTTATACAAGTACATGTATTTGTACTAACAGTACTGGTACTGTGTTACAGGTCTGGAAAGTATGATTTCTTGGACAATGAAAGTTTCATTCGTCTGTTTTTTTTCAAAATACTGCTTAATTACAAGTTTCCAGGACATGCAGGAAGAAATTATTGAAGGCCCTGCCCAATAATTTAATACCTGAGTGAAGTAGATTTTTTTCATTATCTAGTTCTTGAGAAAAAAGGTTGAACTCCAATTAAAATAAAGTAAGCAAACCAGAAAGATATATTTGAGACATGACTTCACAAAAAAAATTTCTAGGGTTGTAAAATTAGCTTACATTTAAGTAGAATTTTGGAAAAGCATTAAATGGGAGATTATTCAAACAATAAGTGAAAATTTAAATCAGGCTTTAATTACTTACATCTTCAAGCATTTAAAAATGGCTCATATAAGCAGTAACCCTGACTGACTATATAGTGTTTGAGATTCCTGACTTAGAACAGGTACACAAACATGTGGCAAGCACAAAATAGTCTTTGGATGATATTTTGGCTCTCAATAATGACGACTTCAGTATGTATACTAAAGAAATTTATCCTGTTGAACTTACTTTAAATAAAGCTTATACTAACAATGACCACTGCCCTTTCCTCGATCTTGATATCTATATCATTAACGGAAAGCTTAATACTAAAATATATGATAAAAGAGATGATTTTTCATTTCCTATCGTTAATTATCCATTTTTAGATGGTGACGTTCCCTTGTCACCATCTTATGGTGTTTATATATCTCAACTTGTACGATTCGCTCATGTATGTAACAATGTTTTAGATTTTAACGAGAGAAATTTATGTATTACTGAAAAATTATTACACCAGGGTTTTCGATATCACAAACTAGTCAAAACATTTACTAAATTTTATCATCGGTATAAGGACATCATTCGTAAATATAGCTCAACATGCAGACTTCTTATACGTTCAGGTATTTCACATCCAATTTTTTATGGAAATATTCTTTATAAAGCACAAAAATGTCAGTATTCACCTCTGAAGCTAACAAAACCTTTAAATAGACTTATTAAGAAGGGATATAGTTAAGATACTGTTGTCAGGTCATTAAAGATTGTATATTTTGGCGTTAATATTGATTCACTTATAGGGTCTTTGCATAGGCACTAAACACATTTATTTAAAAACCAGTTGTTGGCATGACACGGGTTATGTTCTTCTCATATATGTTATGATGGTATGATACTAAACCCCTAACGGGAAGGATTGTGCCTGATATTCATATGATGAAGACATAATCTTTCAATCAGTTTAATTGAAGTCTGGAGCTGGCATGTCAGTTAACTGCTAGTAGTCTGTTGTTATTTATGTATTATTGTCATTTTGTTAATTTTCTTTGGTTACATCTTCTGACATCAGACTCGGACTTCTCTTGCACTGAATTTTAATGTGCGTATTGTTATGCGTTTACTTTTCTACATTGGCTAGAGGTATAGGGGGAGGGTTGAGATCTCATAAACATGTTTAACCCCGCCGCATTTTTGCGCCTGTCCCAAGTCAGGAGCCTCTAGCCTTTGTTAGTCTTGTATTATTTTTAATTTTAGTTTCTTGTGTACAATTTGGAGTTTAGTATGGCGTTCATTATCACTGAACTAGTATATATATTTGTTTAGGGGCCAGCTGAAGGACGCCTCCGGGTGCGGGAATTTCTCGCTGCATTGAAGACCTGTTGGTGACCTTCTGCTGTTGTCTGTTCTATGGTCGGGTTGTTGTCTCTTTGGCACATTCCCCATTTCCATTCTCAATTTTAGCTCACTCGTGTTTCACCTGGATTACCAATATAAGTATATTTACTAAGTAGAACTTGCCTGTTCAATATGTTCAGAAAAAGCATTTAACTAATGTTAATACTGGCATTACACAGATTAAAACATAATCCTATATGGCAATATCCTAGTATGGCTATGTTCAGATTAAAAAATAATCCTATATGGCAATCCAAGTATGGCTATGTTCAGGTTAAAAAATAATCCTATATGGCAATCCTAGTATGGCTATGTTTTGTTATGATTAAACAGCAATAAAAAAAACTAACTTTGAAACTGGAAGCTAATGAAATGTGGCCAGGAAAGTTAGGAACTATGGATACCAAATAAATCACCCTTATTAGCTAAAAATAATTAAAAGTACTTACAACATGGATGCTCTTAAGTAACAGCACAATGCCAGCCCCTCCTACTATATAAAAACTGTTCTGAAATAATTAAAAACATTTATTTATTCAGGGACTACAACAGCATCTCTGAGAGAAATTATGAAATAAACAAAGCTATACATCAAATCTCATAAAGTTAAAAAGACACATTCAAACGATAATCAAAGATTTCACATTTTCATTTTGTTATCATTTCTAATACCGATGCTACATAATAATACAAACCATGCAAATGTATAAAAGTCATATTTAAGGAGGTACCCAACACCTTGACTAAAATTAATTTGGCTCGTTTAATTTTCATAAAATTTTGACAAAATATTTACTTTGATCCTTTGAAAAAAATATAAAAATTTCGAAAAACTAGAACCAATCACTTTCTCGGAAAAATTTCATTGGATATATAGCAGTTTGACAAACACTAATTTTGATCATTGAGAAGCTTAATATTTCCTTAACAATACAACGTAATTAAAATGTGAAGCTGATTTTACAGAGTTATCTCCCTGTAGTGTTAGGTACCACCTTAATCACCAATTATATTTTGTGACTAATTTTTTTCACAATTCACATACCATTATAATAGAACATACTTGTTTGGACTTCTCATGGTGTTGCATGCAAGTTTTACATTATATGAACATTCAAATAGAAAGAGTTTGAAATACACTTATTAAAAATACATCTAACTTTTAGTAGAGTTTGTAATAGTTTGTCTCCCTTTCTTTATCAGTAACCACACCCCCACCCCCACCCCCACACCAACTGATTAAGAAGCGGGGATAAATTATCACAATATCTACCAAATAATTAGGTGAACTTTAAAGAGACTGTATTCAAACTTTTTTTTTCCCCCAGTGGTCATGGTGGTTATAACCCTTCTCTAAAACATACCACTGTATTATACTTACATTACCGGTATATATAAATTGCACTTAAATATAAACATTAGTTTGCATAATTTAATGGTTGTAGAAATATGATCATATAAGATGTACTATATACAGTCATGAAGAGGTAAGTTTGCTTTATTATTGTATTAAACATGTTGAAAAGATCTTATACTTCTTTCATTTTTTAAATTTACATAATCAAATGCAATAAGTTTGTTTTAAGTCCTGTAAAAGAACTGTAAACTGTGTAAATTTGGTGAATTCTGCTATCAAGGAGTTGTGGATTGACAAACTGAGTATGAAGCTGTTTTCAAGAAGTTGCAGGTTAAAACAATGTGACACAGGCTACAACAATGCAAGGTGACAGAAGTAATATCTACGTGTAACCACAGCTTCTTTGTCACTTGTGACAAAATGAATAAAAGGCTGATGTTGAGTCTGAGTAATGACTGACTTTTTTTAGGGAGAAATGTGCCAGAACGTTTGAATTAGGTTGGAAAAGTCAATTAGGATCAATGACATGATAAAAAAGTTTCAATTGTATCTACATTTACTATTGTGAAACTCAAATATAGCAGATAACCAATATTTAACATGCACCCTAAAATGTTTAAAAGTACAACATAAATAAAAGTGAAGTTCATTTAATTTTGTCTCGCACGTAAAAAAGTGGACTTACCTATTGCCCATTTAGTCTTTGCTAAAAATTTGGAAAGAATATTCTTTATTTGTCCTAAGACTTTCACTAGAAAATGAAATCATAATAAGTGTACTTACTCTAATGGCTTTAGGATGTGTATCAATAAAATCATGTGTCCTGTCTAAGTAGGATTTGATAATAGAGCTTAATGGTTCTCTACTGTTATCTGACATCTAAGTGCATAGTAAGAAAAACTCTGCAAGTAAAAAAGAACCAATTCAATGAGGGTGGTAAAAGGTTATTTTCATGCAACATGTTTTGCCATTTTTATTTCACGCGCAGCTGTGAAAAAGGTTTGTTATTCACCGTGTTTCGTGAAATCGGTAAAAAGATCAACATGCAAGAAATTTTTAATTGTTCGTTTATCGTGAAACGGCAATTTCATTTCACGTTCTTCCGTGCAGATACCCCCCCCCCCCCCTTTATGCCCCTCTTCAGTATTAGCTTCAATATCATGTAACTGTGAAAAATAAAATTAGAGGCTCTGAAGAGCCTGTGTCGCTCACCTGTATCTACTGTGGTTTTGGAAATCATGTAAAATAAGGTTAAAATCATAATAGATAGTATAAGATACCCTAATAATGATTGAGGCCAAGTTTGGTTTAATTAAATATTTGGCCCAGTAGTTAAATTAAAAGCAGTTCATCCCATTGTAGTCTTACAATAGTTACTGAAGACCCCTTATCATTATTTAAATTAGTTTTCAAGTTGTGACCATTTGAATTTTTTTTTTACAATTTTCCCAGACTTCTATAGTAAACCCCTATGTTCTATTTTAAGCCATGGCGGCCATGTTGGTTGGATGACAGGGTCATCGGATACATTTTTCAATCAAAATACCCTATTAAAAATTGTGGCCAATTTTTATTCTATTTGGCCCAGTAGATTAAAAGGAAAAGATTTTTGTAAAAGATTACAAAAAAATTACGAAAAAATAGATAAAAATTGACTGTAAAGGGCAATAACTCCTTAAGAGGTCAATTGACAATTTTGGTCATGTTGACTTATTTGTGGATCTTACTTTGCTGAACAGTATTGCTGTTTACAGTTTATCTCTATCTATAATAATATTCAAGATAATAACCAAAAACTGCAAAATTTCCTTAAAATTACCAATTCAGGGGCAGCAACCTAACAACGGGTTGTTTGATTTGTCTGAAAATTTCAGGGTGGATAGATCTCAACTTGATGAACATTTTACCTATGTCAGATTTGCTCTAAATGCTTTAGTTTTAGAGATATAAGCCAAAAACTGCATTTTACCCCATGTATGTTCTATTTTTAGCTATGTCGGCCATGTTGGTTGGTGAATGGACACATTTTTTAAACTAGATACCCTAATGATGATTGTGGCCAAGTTTGGTTAAATTTGGCTCAGTAGTTTCAGTCTAGGAGAAACTTTTTGTAAAAGTTAATGGACGACGACAGACGTTGACAACGGACAACGGATGCCAAGTGATGAGAAAAGCTCATTTGGCCCAAAGGGCCAGGTGAGCTAAAAAACAACCAGTATAGAATAGAAACATAATAATTGTCAAATTGGAATAAATATATCAGGGCTGTCAAGTTTTCATGAAGCAAATGTGTGAGATTTGACAAAAAATTGTAAAGATCAAAGGAAAATGCCACCAAGTAAGCATGAAAATGAGTCTCACGCATATCACGTGAGATGATGATGATGGATATAGACAATAATAGTGCATTGACTTGACATATCAACGATATAAGGATGAGGCTTAGAAACGGGGAAATGCGAGGCTCTGCCGAGCTTTTTCCCCGTTTCGGGCCGAATCCTTATATCGTTGATATGTCAAGTCAATGCACTATTATTGTCTTTATACTGCAATCTAAAAAAAACAACATTTTCAATTGTTGTTTAATGTGTTAATGTTATTATTTGAATTGAATATTTAAAAACTTCCCTCTTTTATAAAAAGGCCTCATATCATGCAGGCGGAGAAATATACAACACAATGAAATGTACATTACCTGTTGAAACCCGCAATCGATGGTGAACGAATTTGTTTGAGAATGAACTAAAATATCAACAATAAGCATAAAACATAATGATTTATAGTTTGCAAACCAAAAAAATTAACAAGTGAAATATGTTTTTTTTCTTCTAAAAATTGCAAAAGAAATAAGTTTGAGTCGTTGTATACATTGGAAACAAGAACAGGTTGAATAGGTCGTATGAATAATTAATTATAATTGCGGCAATTTCTATTTAAATATTCATGAGGAAAAGTGATATCAGGTCAGTGACTGTATATGACATAGAAATATACGGTCAACGCATTTTGACTGCTCAAATAGAACGAGTGCAGTATAAAACTGTTTAACATCCAGCAGCAAATTAATATGCATATTCAGGATGAGAACATGTTAATGTAATATGAGTATTAACTTTGTACTAGACCGACATGCTGAGCTGGATTTTTAACGTGCTTAGTTCACAAGGTAACAGTCCACAGGAAGACATCCCGTATGAAAATTTCAACAGGAGTTCAACTGAACTCCAGCTGGACTTGAGACGTATTCCAGTCTGACTTTGAAAAGTCCAGTCTGACATGAGCCATACACGTACTTTTTCTTATACTTGGGTTATTTGCCAGCCAGTATTTTCTTAAAAGTCCAACCGCACTTTTTGTAATGCTGACAAGAAAATAAACACAGCTGGACTTTTGAGGAAATTTATTCCTTTCTGTAAAATGATCAGCAGGATTTTTGTCTTAGAAAATTTAACATTCATTTATGAGCAGGAATTTAGACTTAGAAAATTCTTTAACATCAATTAGAAACTTGAGCCATATAACAGTGATTTAATAGCAGTTAGTCTTGTAGAAATGTGCCATCTGTTTTCAATTAACCTCAGTCTGGACAGGTCACAGGAAGTACTATCTCCACAGAGATTGAGGCCATATGTAGGAGAACACATTTCGAAATACATATTTCTGCAATTACTATCACTTTTATTAAAAATTTCATAATTAAACAAATTAATAATTGATTTTCTTTTTTTAATCCATCACATATTCAAAATTAAGGCACATGCAATTAGTCATAAGAGGAACATTTAAAACAACTCCTTAAACAACCTCATGTATTGCAATACAACACAATTTGATTTTGGAATAAACAGGAAGATGTGTCTTCTTTCTTGAACAAAATGAGAATTTTACATAATTGTGTGTAAAGCAAATGTTTGGAAGTAGTTCTTTTCACATTAAATAGAGAAGATGGATCCTTCTGACTGGCATCAATGACAAAATTATTTAGGAAGATTGCTGTTTGCATGTGTTTTGGATTGCATATTCTGGTAAGTACAATAAATTGAATTCCACCATTTTGGTGGTATTATCTGATGTGCTCTTTTTATTCAAAATATAAATAGAATAATTACAATATTATAATTAGCTTAATTCTTATTTTTGAAGAGTAAAAAGAATAAAAAACCTACATCAAATATTTATATTCATGCAATAATTTTCATCTTGTCTGTTATGTCACTGTCACTTCCAGTGTTTTGAATTGTTATCAGGTTATGTAAAAAAATGTATTGTTATATTTTTTATTCCCTCTGTATTAAGGAATGGTTATTATTTGAGTTGTTATGAAAGTTTTTTAATTTCTACACTTTAAGTGATTTTCAAGCCAACTTTATTTTATTTTAGCCACTTTAAAATTATTTAGGCTATTATAACCACAAATTATTAGAAGTTAGCATTTAGCTTCTCAGTTCCCCATTTCTTGGTTTTGCCAGTAGGACAGTACAAAAAAGAAAAAGAAATAACCAGTATATATGCATAATGTCATCTGTTGTTTTTGTATTTTCAGATTATAGCAAGGGATGCATGATGCAAATTAAATCAGAAGAACCAACCATCTGAAGAAAAACTGAGCAGTGGCGGATCCAGGGGGAAGGTTCCGGGGGTTGGACCCCCCCCCCCCCCCCCTTTAGAAAATGGCAGGATTTGCCCCTGCTGAGATCATCTTTAAAAGTCAAACCGCACTTTTTGAAGTCCAGCTGGACTTTTTAAAATTCAGCTGGACTTTTAAAAGTTCAGCCGTACTTTGTAAAGTCCGGCTGAACTTTATAGAGTCCATATTTTTGCCATAAATGCCGGCTGGATTTTTATTCAGACGTACTTTTATTAAAGTCCAGCTGGACTTCATGAACCGGACTCCTGCTAATTTAAATATTTCGAGCCGGTTTACGGCTAATTTCGCTGAAAGTCCAGCCGGGGTATCTATTATAAGCAATTCAAAGAAAAGTCCAAATGAATATTATAAGTACGGTTCTCAGTACGGCTACAGTACGGCTACTGTCTGGCTGGAGTACGTGTCATGTTTTTCATACGGGTTGTCACCTTACCCGGCCTTGGTTGACGAACCCTCGACCTCCCGCACTTAAGGCGAACACACTACCACAAGACCACCGAGGCGGTTATATTGTTATCTAAGAGAGTCTGGTTTTTCAACTACATAAAAATGCCCTGTAATGAAATGAAAAAGGTACTGCCAACGAATGAAAAACCTTTGTCTGAACATGCTGAAGTAAGGGAGCTACCATTTGATTTTTATGACTATAAGTATATAACATAAAGTCCCTTAGTAACAGGATCTTTTACCCTAATACCCATTTGCTCAGCATCGATTCAGCTAGAAAAGAAGTCGTTTCGCTCCAAACATTGGTCACCAAAATTTTGTAAACTGGGACTATTATACTAATTATTCCCAGTTGTAAAGCATGAAAATTATATTCGTTCTGTATTATAAAATGTATAATTACCCAAATGTTAAGTCATACCACACAGGACAAAAGTAAGCCACGAAAACACACATATATAATTTATAAAATCAGGGGCGACCCGATCCCTAGGTCGAACGAGTATAGGGGCGAAATGACCCTGTTTTAATAACTAACTTATGGCACTGCCTTCTCAAATTGTACAACAGATATAAAAATACAGAAAAATATATTGTCTTTCTCTAAACACTTCACGCTTGTCAACAAACCAGTCTATATCTTTAATTACGCCTTTTTCCTTGTGTGACCTTTCTAAAATTGAAATACGCGGTTATTTGCCCTTAGCTGCTGTTGATCTGAATACCTAAAATGGCATGCGATGATGATAGCAAACGGACAAGAATTCTATACCGTTTTGGAAAGTGGGGAGCAGAAATATTTTCATCAAAACTGCTAGTAACGCCAGTCCGCGGGAATATTTTTATAATGATGTTATGTTCCTTGTTTAGAAAACATTTTTTTTGCGCAATTTCGCATATCATTTTCGTAATTTCGCGCAGCGTCGGATTGGAAACTTCAATATTGCGTGTTATTTTCATGTGCAAACTTTGTATTTGAAAATAAGGCGGAGATAAACTTTTTTCAGTTCTCACCTTCTAATCCTTTTTTTTCACTTAGTCAGTGATAACGCGTTCACAAAAGAAAATACAATCATAATATCATTACAGGAAAAGTACTGAACTCTAAATTTAAAATATCGGTATTTTTTTATGACAAAAACTAGAAGAGAGTGGCTAAATAGCCATTGCTATCGAAATTTTGCCGGCTTTAATTAAGATATTTTAATAAGTGCCGGCAAAATAGCCACTGCGAAACTGAAAATGTCCAACAAATTAAACAGCAATGGACAATGCTCGTAGTTACTGAAAGCAAGATCCAAGTACTTAACCTGATGATATAATTAAAGCATATTGTCATCATATATTTAATATGGGACGTTCTCATGACTTCATAGATCTGATGATTAATTCACGCAGAAACATCACGAACGGTACAAGAAGTCGTCATCTTGTGCAAACAAAAATGCAGAAAAACAAAAGTAATTAACATTGTTGTCAGTGTTAGTATTTCTTCAAATTATAGAATAACGAATTGATGTTTATGATCTCCAAAATACCAGACGGCAGCGATTGATGGCAACAGTATACATGGTATACTGTATCTTTTTAATCTAAATATTATTTTGTGTATTTATTCAGTAAGTCAAGGAGAACGATTTAAATGACAAATCTTAAACATTTAAGATTTATAAACTATATAACCATATAGAAATACGAATCGGAACACCACTTTTTTTAATTAATTCATAGCTTTAGGTGGAACCATACTTCCACAATAAATCGCTATATTCGTGATATAACAATTAAATTTAGTAAAAGTTTCGACCAAATTTTTGTTCAATACTTTAATCGAAATCCCGGAGACGTCACTGTTTCAACAATCATATTAACTGACCGAGAAATAAATACACTCCATGAAAAGGAAGCAGTAAGGAAAGGAAAAGTAATACTACTAATAAGAAAGGAAAATCGCCCCGTTTATCCTATATTTTCGTATTGAAAACTGCCATGAGGAATTCATATCAAGGTCTCCGATCGGTCACCTCTAAATGTTTGATTCAGTGGATCACCTGTATATTCGTTTATCGCTATTTTACGAAATTTTCCTTTGATCTTGCTGACTGATAATTTCCTTTCTCAGTGGAGTCGAGTGATATGAAACTTTGAATTATCGCTAAAAACTAAGGGGGCACGTGGCGTTGCTGATGAAATTGACATGAAATCGACAACGTCGTCATTATTATATGACATAGGTAAAATAGCGATAAACAGATTAGCATTGGTCATCTCAACTCGATTGCCTTTCTCACTTTCGCCGTACCGGCTCATGCGAGAAAATCAATCTCGTTGAGATGATCAACGATAATCTATAAATATTTATAAATTGTTGATCGACAGAATATATCATGTAAATATCTACAGGTATCTTTAATGTTTAGTGTTGCCTTTGTTTGTCTCTTCGAAGCTTTGCCATAAACTGTGATTCAAAACATGAAAGGAATAATATATCTACGGTTATTTCAATTGAAATACAAATCGCCTTGCGAGAAACTATATCTTCAATCAAACATAAATTTGATCGAGAAAACATTTAATGACTTTAATTCTTTCATTTTCTGTCCCATTGGTGTATTTTTATTACTGAAAAAAAAGAATAGTAACTGCTGCATGCAACAAAAATAGCGACAACAAGATTTACCTAGAAAGGATCGTATTTTATCCAAGACTTTCAGTTTTTACACTCCAGAAAAAAGTTAATTCTTTTATTATATCAATATTATATTCATATCTGTATAAAAATATGGAGATGTGATATGATTGTCAATGAGACAAAGCTCGAAGACAACTACCCACCAGAGACCAAATGAGGTGGATGTAGGCATGCAACTATAGGTCACCGTACCACTTTCGTCAATACGCAAAACCCATACTGCATAGTAAGCCATAAAAGGCACTGACATGACAAAATGAAATAACAATTCAAACGAGAAAATTATGATAAAACGTAAATCGAAAAACAATATGACAGACAGCAACAAACGACAACCTCTGAAATACAGGTTCCTGGTTTGGTAAGGCACATACAAAATGTAGCGGGGTTAAACATGTTTCATTTGCTCAATCCTCTACCTAACCTGGGACAGTGGTCTATATCAGCACAAAAAAAAACTTAGCTTTATGTTTAAACTGTAATAATTCGTTAAGGGTTCTCTAAAATTGACAAAAACTAACTCCATTTATTAGTAAAATACGGGGGTGGGGGGAACAAATGAAACATTTTTCTTCAGATGCTATTTAGTCGTCTTGAAGGAGCGTCGACCTGTCCAAGTTTCATCATAATATTCCATGAAGGTTCAACAAAGTTATTAATGTCTTAAATAATGAACCACAAACTGCATGCATGTAAACATGGTAAATGTTAACTGCGAAAACAAAAATGCATAAGTTTATCTATCAATAAAATACTGAAAATTGAAAAATATATTTTCGAGATTTTGCTTAATTCAGACATTATGCCTTAATCATAAAAAAAACTTGCCAAATTTTCATAAAATTCTAAGAAGGTTTGACAAACTTATTGATGTCTATTTTGTTAACCCCAACCTGTATATAAATGTCAACTGAAAATATGAATCCATTTATATCAGAAGAAAACGGAAAAATTAAAAAAAAAAATTTTTTTAAATGTTTGCCTCTGACAGTTTCGCTTAATCATAAAAAAGTTTCTGCTAAAGTTTCATAAAATTTTCTAAACTTTAATCTCAGACTGCATCTTTTTATTGTATGTATGAAGAATTGCTATGCTGACTCGCTTCTGCAGGCTCGACAAAATTCAGTTGAAAGAGGATAGATTCATCAGATCGATTCAACGCACATTCCTTTAACGGTTATACCGGAAAGTGTGTAATTTAAAAAAAAGAAGAAAAGAAACTAGTTTCAAGCCGTTGTAGGGTAAATTTCCTATTTTTAATATTATAAAAAATCATTTATTGATTATATTAAACAATAATTTTAAAATACAAAAATTCAAATTTGAAGTTGAGGGGTTGATGGGAATGGCAGACCCTTACATTGGACCTATGATGTAGGTCATTGCATGGATCAGTGCGGTCCAACTCTTGGCCTTTTGGACCAGGGATCATTAGGTCATTACCTTCCAATTGCACATACTATGAAAAAAATTGCAGTAAGGATTTTTTACAAACTATGCAAGTTCAGTGTGTGCGTGCGGGGTGGGGTAGAAATGACAAACTCCAAGTATGGACATATGTTGAGATACTTCATCTGCGCCATTTGGCCAATCAATTTTAGGCCATTAGCTTCAATTTGCATCAAGTGTGGAAAAAAAAATTGCCGTAAAACATTTTTGACAAACTTTGTCAGTTGAATTGATAGGAATGTCAGACCCCTAGTTTGAACATGTGAAGGCCATCAGTGAGATACCCTGCCAAACAAACCTTAAACCGCTGCCTTCATTTTGCTCCTAGTGTGGAAAAAAAATTGCAGTAGTTCACAAACTTCCATTTGTACATTGTGTTAATGATATTTTTGCAGTAGAGAATTTTGTTACAGAGCAGAAAAAACAACTAGCAATAAAACAAAAGAAACAAAGTATCGATATAAGAAAACTTTAAGTTACTGAAAGCTATTAAATCATGTTAAATCATGTCTGTGAAAAATAGTACCTTGTTCAATGCCAAAATATAAGTATTTGTAGGAAGTATACCATAAATGTTTATAACTGTAAAGCATTATTTTTAACAAACATTATACAAAGATCTTAATATAGTGTTACATTGTCTACCTTTAAGAATAAATCTATCTAAAGGATCAATAAGTTTACATGGATTGTACTAAATTTACGGGTTCTATAAACAACATCACCGTAAATGCATGATAGGATGTGATATCCGATTCGTAATAAGGTTTCTACTTACTTACAACTCCCGTTAGCGCCATGTGTCGCATAGGGCGCGAATGGGAGCCTTCCATCTGAGTCTGTCTGCTGCTTGTTGTTGTTGTTCTCCCCATGTCCTCCATCCAAATTCTGTTCTTTCTTTGTCTACCGTTCGTCTCGAAGTTTCCTTTGGTCTTCCTACATTTCTCTTTCCTGGTGGTGTCCACGTCAAGGCGATTTGACAATAATTTCATGGGTCCATCCTCAGGATGTGACCTATCCAACAGCTCTTTGCAGCAGTTCTGTGCTTGAAATCATAGTTGGCCAAAATATCGCGAAGATTCTACGCAAGTTCCTGGTGTTAAAGGTGTAAAGTTTGTCTCCATCTCTCTTGCTTATCTTCCAACAATCTGTCCCATATAACAACACTGATATTACATTGCTTTTATAAAGTTTCTACACGCACAACTAATTTCCAAACCAAATATATGTGTTTACGAAAAAGTTTGGACTTTTGACGGACAAATTCAGAGATATTCACATAAAATTGAGAATGGAAATGGGGAATATGTCAAAGAGACAACAACCCGGTCAAAGAGCAGATAACATGCATATCTCAATTGAAAGTAAATCTGGAAAAATCGTGATCTGCTCATTTTATGCATTTAATAAAGATAAAAAAAACTTGACGATATATGAAGACTTAAAATGCTAAAACAGTCGTGAATGCACATACAAATAAATCCTAAGAGCAATTAAGCAGGTATGTAAAACAAAAAAATATATGAGCATATCATATATCCCAAGCGCAGTAATAACGAAAACAATTTTAACAT